GATGAAGTAAAATGAAATCATTGATAACTTCAATCTTTCCATCTATCATGATGTTTGGAAGCAGGAGTGACAACCACTTCCATAATAGCTTGCCTCTGGAAACCTTATGAACCTGAAGAAAGGATGAAAATTATACAGGTGTCCAGAACTTTCATAGGGTCATGATGAGTTGCCTATGACTCGACAGTGTCACCTACAACTTGATGGCACTTAACAACAACATCATGATGTTGCCTGTTGGTCCAGTGGTGATGATTTTGGTTTTCTTGATGTTAAGATATAACCTATATTGAAGGCTGTAGTCTTTGATTTTCAGCAGTAAGTGATTCATGTTTTCTGCATTTTCTGCAAGAAAGATTGTGTCCTTCCTCCAATTCCAATACCACATTCTTCTTCATATAGTCCAGTTTCTCAAATTATTTGCTTAGCATACAGATTCAATAGGTATGGAGAAAGGATACAACTCTGACACACACCTGTTCTGGTTTTAAACAAGGCTCTGGTGGCCTAGTGGTAAGAAACTTCCCTACAATCCCAAATTCAGGCAGTGTGAATCCACCAGTGGCTTCATAGGAAAAGGATGGAAAATTTCCTCCCATCTGATTTCTCTCTCTGAAAACCCACTGGAGGGTCAGCGATGGTTAAGTTCTGACTTCACGGTACACAACCACAACATTGTTCTCTTGTTCTGTTTGGACAAATCTTTCTTGTTCTTTGAACAGAGGTTTCACATGAATGAAATTAAGTGTCCTGGGTATCCTATTCTTCTCAATGATAGCCATAATTTTTTTTTTCAGAATGTGTTAGTATTTATTAAAATAACCCGTGTTTAGTTGTAACAACAAAAACTTTTTTTTTGTAAGCGCAACTTGCATGTGTCTATTTATCTATAAAGTTAGCATTGATAGCCTAATGGATGGGGGTTATGCTACTAACACAAAAGTTGTTGGAGATTGCCTATTTTTCTTTCGAGATGCAGCTGATAGATTTGAACTGACTATGTAGTATCCTAGTGGCAAGAAGCTGCACCGCAATCTCGAAGGCATGTAGTTGGAGGCCACCAGCTGCTCCAGGGTAGAAGGATGGGCAATCTCTTCCCCTCTGATTAACTTCTTCTGAACACCTGCTGGAGGGTCAGCTATGGGTGCATTCTGACTTGAGAGGACACAACAAAAATCATAAATATTTTATGATCCACACAGGCAAATGCCTTTGCATAATCAATTAAACACCATCAATATCTCTCTGGTATTTTACGTAGTCAGTCAAAAATCCATCTGACATCAGCAGTGCTCTCTCTCATGCCACAACTTCTTCTGAATCTAGCCTGGATTCCTGGCAATCTCCTATTGATGTGCTCCAGCTGTATTTCTCATAATTTTCAACAAGATTTTACTCGCATGTGATATTAATGATATTGTGCCTCCGATATAGAAATATATGCATTTTTGTGTACTTTCCTGCCTCTGTCTTTTGCTTTTCATCCAAACTTTGGTTGGTGAAACTAAGTCCACTAAGTTGCTTTCAGATGCAAATGAGATCTTAACAAGGCATTGAAGCACCTTAATAATCTCCCCCCACCCCCAATCCTTTACTGTTACTCTTATTTCCTGCCACTTCTCCAAAGAAAGGAAATCCCTTTTCTGGAAGTCCCTTCCACTTGAATTTTTTGTACTTTTCTACCTGGATCTTTTGGTAAACCTCTACAAATCCATTGTTGTTTTTGTTGTTGTTATTGGTTGCCTTCAAGTTGAGCACTAGCGGCCCTATGAACTAAAGGCCTGAAGCCCCTTTACAACTATCAACATTTATTAAAGTTCACAGAGTTTCGGAGGCAAGTTGTTTAGGAAGTGGATGCCACTCCTGCTTCCATAGGCATTATGTTATAGAAAAGCCAACTCAGATTTCTCTGGAACAATTACCTAAACACGTGTGTTTGTGTGTGTGGTATGATTTTGTGTGTGTGCTGTTGAGTCAGGACCACCGTATAGCTGACCCTCCAGAAGGTTTTCAGAGGCAGTAAATCACACAGGAGACCACTGCATCTCCTTTTCCTGTGGAGCAGCTGGTGGATTCAAACTATAGACAGCACTTTGGGATTGCAGCACACATTCTTGTTTTATATATGTATATTTGTATTCATGTTCATATTTATATATAAATAGAAAAGACCCTAGTGGTATATTCCACAGTGTGACACTGCAAAACAAAGGGCTACACTTCTGTAGTTACAATCCACCAGAGGCTCTGCAGAAGACAGATATGCAATATTCTCATTAGGTTTACAGCTTCGGCAACATGTGGAAGGTCACACTATGAACTGGGATCTACTCCATGGTACCTTCTGTGAGCCAAGTACAAATAGAGGTACTAGAGAGGGGAAAGTAAAGGGCATTTATCCAACCAGTGAACGACACTTTTACAGTCCTTAAGTTTCTCACACTTGAACAAGAGAGAGAGACACACACATACAATAAAGCATAATACAGTGTAATAAATCTTGTCTTTAAATGAATGAAGGGCTCTGGGAACTTAGAAACAGATGTATTTAATTAATTGTTCCTAAGGACTTTAGCACTGACTTTACTATAACGTAATGGATTAGTTAGGAGGGCTTTCACCAAGTAAGGTCAGAGGATGAGCACAAGACACAGGCAGAAAAGTTCACAAAAGAGCACACGTCAGGGACTTACAGGAAAAGGACGTCCTTCCTTCGGGAAGATGGTAGGAAATAAGGATAATAGTTTTAAGGTAATAATATTAAGATCCTTAAATGCCTTAAGATCCTGTTTTATTCTAAATACAACTTCAAAGTTCATGATTATGATCTCTGTTCACAATGTTTCACAGTTGTGAAGGCCTGTACATGTAGGGTGAGAGAGGACCGGAGAACCTATGGGAGACACTTTAGAAGGAAAACCTACTGCATATGATGGTCAACTGATGAGGAGAGATTAGGAGAAAAGGCAAGACAAGACTTTGAGGATTTTTGGTTGGTTGGTTACATTTATGACAAGGTCATTAGCTAAAACTGAGGAAAATCCTATAAGAGCAAAGATGAAGATACTTAGGAGATATTTAAGCACGATGCCCTGGAGAAAGTTAGATCTAAGGAAAGAGGTCAGATCTAGAATTACTGTTTTGAGAGTCACAGTTGAAGGCACCTAACTGGATTAGATACCACCTTGGATAAGCATGCACCGGGAAAAGAGATCAAATAAACCTCCAAACGTCCAAGGAATATCCCAGCAAAGAAAGCAGAGACAGGAGCCATGAGAGCTCAGGAGACAGTCTGAGAGGAGAAGCAGAGCGTGGCAGCACCCATGGGGACGAGGCTGTGAGAGGCACGCGAGACCACAAGATCACCCAGGAAGTGGCTGTTACTCCTCATCAGAACACTAAGAATTCAGGGAGAAGAAGTTTAAAGAAATGAGGAGATCATAGCAGATTCCAGGGAGCATAACGAAGACGAGAACAACCTACAAGCGCACCACGTAATAGTGGAGGCCCAGGAAAACAGCAGGAGTTCAGAGAGCCATGTTCTCTTCTGAAGAAGAGTCAGAGACAATTTGAGTCCTCAAGGCCTCTATCTTGTCTCTATCTGAGATGTAGGAACACGGAGACCTTTTCTTTCATATTATTTGAGCCCCCTTAAATGCCTGTGTCCGTTTAGGCCTTAAACTGTGACACACATAAACGGTCACTTAAGCCACATTTTTATTTTTTAAACTAATGATGCACAATTTCTCTTTCCTGACCATTGGATTTACAACCAGTGGAAAATTGTATTAAAAAAAAATCCACCAAAAAACCAATGGTGTCTTGGGGAAATGGGGTGTTATGATTTAGATGATTTAACTGAATAGACAGTCATTTTGGAGAGGCTAGTGGGAGAAAAGGGAGCTCTGGTAGCTTAATGGTAAGGAACTGTGCTGCCAACCCAATGGGACTTGGTTCGAATCCACCAGATGCTCTGCAGGACAAAGATGAGCAATCTCTTCCGGTATAATCAGCTGTCTCTGAAAACCCACTGGAGGGTAATGATTTGGTTCCAACTTGGTGGTGCCTAACACCAACAATGACAGTGGGGGGCGTGGGGAGCTCTGGCTGCCTAGTGGTAATGAGTTGTACCACCAACTCAAAGGTTCAAATCTACCAGCTGTGCTTTCAGGAGAAAGATGGGCCATCTCCTCTCGCTGGAATTACAGCCTCAGAAAACCCACTGGAAGGTTGGCTATGAGTCAGTTCCAACTCAGCAACACACAACAATAACAGTAGAAGAAAGAATTACTTAAGGTTAGCAACACACCCTAGATTCTAAAACTGAGGATAACTCATCAGAGGGTCGTAAGAATGTAACAGGGAGGAGGAGCGGCAAGGAAGTGGGGTAAGAGACACCAAAGGAAGAGAAGGTTTCCGGAAGGAGAGTGTGTCCGATGCTGCAGGGGAAAATTAAATGGAGTTTCTTTACATGGAAGTGAGAGTTCCTGGTCTTGAAAGAGCATTTTCAATGGCATAACAGGGCAGAAGCCATATTTGGAGAGTGAAAAGAAAGTAATATTCTAATGTATTTTCCCCTTCTCCTATGCAGTAAATAACTTCTATTTAGAATAAATGTAACAGGTAATTTGCCTGTGTGTGCCTACATATACACAAACACATACATGATGTCTCTTTCTATAATAATGGTCACATGAGAGATACAGTTAATACAAATTAAATCACACCATGTATTTCACCTATTCTGATTAAAAATAAACTCATGGTGTATTAATGATCCCGTTTCAATTATTTCTTTTATATCTCTCCTATTTAAAAAAAAATGTGAACTTGGATATTGACTTGCCCACACAAGAAAGACTGTTAAGACGCGCCAACATAGGGAGAGGGAGACAACCGTCTTAGTTTTGAGGGGATGATATGCTAAAGTTTCTGTGATGTTTTTTGATATATGACTGCATTTCATTCGTATCCCCCATCTCTCCTCTCTCATCTTCCAGTGGAATGGAGCATGTCTAAGGAGTTCTCTCCTTTGACTGGAGAAATCATCATGGATAATCTACAGACTCTGAGATGTACAATCACAGGACTTGTCACGGTAAATGTCACCTCCTCCCACCAGTCATCCTATTCTGTCACTGAGCCTTGTGCTAAGATTTGAGTAGGAAACATCTACTCTGGAAGTAACAGCCAACGCCCAGTCCTCTGGCAACAACTGCCACTCATTAAGTGTAATATGTCTGGTCTCCATAATCTGAATTTCACAAAGGAGTGAGCAGACAGCATGAACCACTTTGTAAGCTGTCATGTTCTGAGGAGATCAGAAAAAACTGGCCTCATGCAAGCCTTGAAAGTTGCTGCTTTCTGGACCACAGTCTAATTTTCTGAAGGGATCAAAGGCTCTGAAAGATCCAATTTTGACTCCCCGTCTGATGGTAAAAATAACAGTCTCATCTAGCCCTCACCCCCACAACCTCAGTTGAAATCAGTCATCAATTGGAGTCACACAATTTCCTGAGAGAAATCCTCTTCCCTTGATTAAAAAAAAAAATCTATCTAAATCTGCTTTCACAAAGAAGAAACTATATATGGTGGAGCTACATTTCTCAGTAACCTGAATCAATTTAAACTATGAATGAATAACTAGACTGAACTGTGTTCATTTATTTGACCAATATAAAACTCAAATACTAATTATTTATGAGACTGTGAAACCATACTCAAAATACACAAATAAAAGCACCTAGCAAATCAGTTTAATTTGAAAGAGACACCATACTTCCTCAAACAATTAATAAGCATCAAAACTGGATCACCAAAATAATTTTAATGGAAAACTTACATGTGATATATTTTCATTTTTTGGTGCAATTCAAAAATAATAAATATTAGATATTTTAACAGTTACTTGTAAAGTATAATCCTGAAACTTAGCATTAAGAAGCTCAAGTAGGCTGCAACCCTTCAATTTTGAACACACTTATTCTAATAGACTTCTTGGTGGTTGGGTCACCGCCAGAGATTCCTGACTTTTAGTCTTAAACACATGTCCACACTCGGGGCCAAAACCGTGGATTACCAGAGTAAATAAAGCCCTGAGTGGGTGGGCCCTGAAGATGGGATCAGCAGAATTCTGATTCCCCATCCAGCAGCAGCTCACAGGACAGAAGAGGGCCAGATGCCACCTTAGGGAATGTTCACTCTCCAAAGGCAGGGAGGGGGAAGGGAGAATTTGGTGACAAAGATGGCAAAGTCTCCATCGTATCTCTAATATCGGAACTCATTTCCATAGGGATTAAGTTTTTCCACTTAGCTGTGCAATGAGAGCACTGCAGGCAGATGCGACTGTAATCACAGAAAAGCCTAGAAGCAGATTTACACTTGTACAGAATCCCTACAACCTTGAGATGCACATAAACTCATCTCAACATTGAAAAAATAGCTTTAAAATATGTTGAGGACAATATGGTTCAATTCCCAGCGAAGGCTTGACAAAGATGACCTTTCTTTTATATTTTTTAACCTTCAAACACCATTTTACAATTTTTGCAAGTAGTTTATTACCAAACACTGGTTTCTAAAATTCCCCTTTAAGATCATTGAAGAAAAAAACCCAAACACCTCAAAACACCTTACTAAAGTAAAACTCTAAAGCTATACAAAACACCTGAAAAGATTACCAGCAAGCAAGAATAACCCCTTAAATCCCAATGTCATAAAAAGTAAACTATTAAAGAATATAAGCCATTGTTTTGTTAGTGGCTTTAAAACGGAAGTAAAAGATGAAAGCTATTCTTTTAAAAGTCTGAACAACTGAATAAAGGATATTTGTTATTGTTAGGTGCTGTCAAGTTCACTCTGACCCATAGTGACCTCACACAGAACAGAAAAGCACACTCTGCAGCTCCTGACTCTCCTCACAGTCTTTGCTGGGCTTAAACCCAGCGGTGCAGCACCACGTCTGCCCATGCCACCGGGGGTCGGGGGGGTGGGGGGGGGGAGTGTGGGGGGGTGTGGTGGTGTCTTCTTTTCCTCTAATCGTCTCACTTACTAAGCATGATGTCCTTCTCCAGGGGCTGACCCCTTCTCAAATAATATGTCCAAAGTACATGACATGAAGTATTGCCATCCTCCGTTCAGATGATTGCTCGATTGTACTTCCTCCAAAAAGTTTGCTGATTCTTCTTACCAGAAGAATATACCAGTCCCTGGTATAGTCAATCTTTTTCAGCAACACCATAGCTCAAAAGCATCAATTCTTCTTCCTTCTTTATTGATTGTGAAGCTTTTGCATGTATATGGAGAGACTGGTCTGGGCTAGGTATATATCTTTACCTCTTAATAGAGATCTTTTAAAAGGTTTTTTGCTGTAGATTTGGCCAATGCAAAATGTTATATGATTTCTTCTGCTTCCATGAGCATTGATTGTAGATACAAATAAAATGAATTCTTTAACAAGTTCAATCTTTCCTCCATTTGTCAAGTGTTTCTTATTGGTCCAGTTAGAGGGATTTGGGGCTGTACCGAGATGTGCTGCATGTTGAGGGTTGTCTTTGACCTTCATCAGTCAGTAGGCGCGTCATGTCCTCGTCACTGTCAGTAAGCAAGGCTATGTCATCCAGACACTGTAGGTTATTAACGAGTTTTCCTCCAAATTTTATGCTTCATTCCAAGATTTTGTGTTAAGCATACATACTGAAAAAGTACACTGAAAGAATAAAAGAATATTTCATAGATCATTAATTGTACACAAGCAATAGAAACAATCTAAATGTCCATCACTGAGAGATTCATGAAATAAATAATGATATTTACCACAGTATATCCAGTCATTAAAAGAATAAGACAAATCTTTAGTGTACAAATTTGAAGATATTCACTACAGAGTATTTTACTTTATAAAGCAAGTTTATTGGCTCAAAAAGGAGATGATGTTTGTTTCTTAGAAGGGAAATAAAAAGGTGAATGTTGGACACTGCTGTTTGCAGTAAGTAAACTTTGTAAACTATATGTCTTTTTAAAAAATGATGTAGGATTTTGGGGAGAAAATCATGAAAAATAATTTTTATATTCTAATTTTTTAAAAAATAAGACATATATAAGCAAAAAGGCATTCCAAATATGATTATTATACTATCGAAGCATAACAGTCAAGATATATCAGAAAACTAAAGTGGGCAGTGGAGTCCCGAAGGGATGGACAAGTTAACCAGACCCAGGGACATGTGTCTCAGATGAAATGGATTTATACAATGCTTGACACAGTCTTCTTTTTGTTTTAACTTTGCAGGGCCAACAGTACTTTGTCCAAGTCTCAGCTTACAACATGAAAGGATGGGGACCTGCTCAGACCACAACACCAGCAAGTGCCTCTCCTTCTAGTAGGTGGTGGTTGTGAACTCTCTCCAAGTCCAACTCCAGCTTCAGGGTGCCATTGCCACTCTCTCTGCTCTCTGCTCAGGACCCAGCAAGAAGACCCCGTCAGGGTAGCACTCTGGTTACATAATGAATGAGTCTTCTGCAGAGGCAATTCAGTGGAATGAAACAAGAGCAAAATTTGGAACCAGCAAGACTCAATTTTATAATTATTATATGTCTTAGTAACCTAAACTCTGAGTCTCAATTCAATGTCTATAGAATGGATCCAAGCTGATCCTCTGGCAGGGTGGTCGTGAGGATGTGGGGAGATGGCACAATGACTGTGGCTAATCCAGAGTCTTACAGTCCACTGAAATGATCATCTTATCTGCCTCACCACCAGAGGGTCCGTCCACATAGATCTGATGAAAGAATCTTACTTATACAACATATTACAGGATAAAAAGTTTTCTTAGTAGCAGGAATTCATCTATAAATATAATCTACGCATTTATATTACTGACCCAAGTCCCACAAAATTTTAATTATTTTAAGCTTAATAATGTATGTTTGGTATATCAGTAACTCTCTATTATCTAAAAAATGCAATTAACAAGAGCAAACATCTCCAGACATACCATTTAATAGATGTTTCTACATAATGATACTATCTTTCTGAGTTGCTTTTTCATTTCTTAAAAAACAAAACAAAGAAAAAGCTTTAGCTATTGTAATAGCTAAAAAAAAAGGTACCATACACATCTTGTGAGTACAACCTGCTATATCCTCTATGAGACGAAATTTCACATTATGTATCAACTGCTTTTAGGAAATGTATTTCCTATTTTTACGTGAAAATGACACATTTGAGAATCTAACTTAAGGAAACAAAAATAAAGAAAAATAACTATATACAAAGATGTAAATCATAGTAGTATATGGATAATAGCAAAATAGTATATGTGATGGGAAAAACAAATGCTGAATATTAATATAATAATAAGTAAACAAAACATCATATACGGATATCATATTCTCATGTCTATACTGTAGAACAAAATGCAACCACTAATAATGTCTTAAAACGCCATCTGTTGAATGGAAGACATTATTATACAAATAATATATAAAGAAATAATGCAAAGGGGGTTTTTTTCCTCACACAAATTTAAATTGTTTATTTTATTTTAATTAAGTATGTCTGTGTATAACTTTTAAAATATAAAAGTGGCTATCTGGGCAATGAAATTATAAATTGCTTGTTTTATGTGTTTGCTCACACTTTGCCTAGTAACAATCATGAATTAGCCAATATATCATAGACTTTCACGTTCAGAATCTCATTTAAACCTCCAACAATAAAAAAAAAATTAAAAAAAAAAAACAAACCTAAACCCCAAAGATCATTAGAACCACTTTACTGATGAGGAAACTGTTAACAGACATTCAGGAAACAATAGTGTCAGATCCAGGCCCCATCATTCTTACATTCTTAACAACTGTACCATTTTCCTTCTCTATTAGTAAGGAAATTGGGATTTAGAGAGAAATATTACCTTGTCAATGGATACAATTTGGATAAGTAGTCAAATCAGGATTGAACCTGGATTGTCCATCCCCTTGCCATGTCTTTTACACTGTGGTCATTATTGCCCTACTCTCGGGATCTCTGGCAGTTTAGTGATAATGAGTTGCACTGCTAACCTAAAGGTTCATGGTTCAAATCTACCTGCTGTGCTGCTCTGCTAAAGTAGGGCAATCTCCTGTGTTATTTACTGTCTCTAAAAATCCACAGAGGGTCAGCTATGAGTCAGTTCCAACCAGATGGTACACAACAACACCACCACCAACAAGGCACACAAGCAGACTAAGAGCCATGCCTAGCCCAGCCATGCCTAACTAATGTCTCTGATAGATTCAGGTAGCCACACTGCGTCATACGCGGCCTTCAAACTTGATCCACCAATGTCAGAGATCTTTGAGGTCTCTGACTCCCCCAGCAGCTGAGGAGTTAATGGTTCCATTCTTATTTATCAGAAATGCCAACTTGGAATTTTGTAAGATTAAGAAGGAAACCAGTCCAATTCCAGGAAAAGGAACGAATCTAATTCCTGGAAAGGTGTGGAAAGGTACAACTTTTCAGAGATGGGCAGACAGAGAGCAAAAAAATACTCCACTGACTTGAAAATAGGCTAGGGGACAACTCAACCCAAGCACCGACTCACACCATATTCTTCTGCACATAGAGACAAGTACTCACAAAGGTTAGAGGGTCAAGTTCTACAGACTGAAAATTCTATCAGACACTGTCCCAAAGAGCTCTCTCCAAAATAACAAGAGCTGTTCAGGACAGGGAGAAGTAGCTTAGTAATTGGCCATGAGCACAGCAAGTGGCAATGTCTTCTGGACCAGCACGTTTGATTAGCAGAGGTAACTGGCAAAGAGCTAAAACCCTCATGTGGATACAGTTGCTGCAGACAGGCCATATCACTTGGACACTTGGAAAGAGCAATATAAAAACATTCCAATTCTATTTATAAACAGAGTATGACATTGTGATGTAACATATATCAGTATTTAGATATTTACTAGAGGACAATGTAGTCTAACATGACAGAGTAATTGGAAATTTGGTAATATGTTCCAGTAAGCTATAAAACTGGGTTTTTTATATATTTTCACAAAAAGCCTTAATGTGTTTTTATAGACTTATGTTATATGGTATGGTACATAATAAGAGAAAAGGACCCAGACAGGCTTGTCTGAGTTACGATCAGGAAAGCCCTGATATCGCCAGTGAATGTAAGCTCTGCATTGTGTTGCAATTGAAGTGTCTCATTACCAGAACAGTGAGCTGTATTATGTGGCACAATCTGCTCTTTTCCTACCACACTAAGTTTATTCCTGTCAGAGTCCTGATTTCTTAATATATTTTCAATTTTCTCCCTCATCCCTAAAGTCTCCTATTTTATGTAGCCGTCAGTACCTTCCAAACATCTATGAGAAAAACTCATTCTTTCCAAAAACCTTGGCATCTTGTCCAGGGCTCACTTGGGCTGCAATTTAGCATTAGCAATTTTCGACTGTACCGTAAAGTCATCAGATCAGGCTCGCCTCTGATGTAATGGGGCTCGGCTGAAAGAGCCAGGTCCACTTCATCTCCCCCTGCAGTGAGGGCAGCATTAACACTCATTAGAATGTATTAGCATGTTTAAGGCCATGTAGTAACGCAGCCACCCAGGAGTCCAGCTCAAGCAAAGAGGGCTGCCCAGGTTATCATGTGCACTTTAGATGCATTCATTCATAGATGGGAACAAACTCAAAACAGCAATAAGGAACCACAAGGATGACTTTCATTCTTATTACGTCAGCGTGCAAGAGCATACGGGCCTCTAGTCGTTAGCTTCTTCAAACATTTCCGAATCTTCCAGCAGAAACCTTGCCTTGGTCTATTCTACCTGAACGTCATCGCACACATTCAACATTCACAGTGTTCCACCAACATTTAGGAGTGTCCCTGCTTACTTACATTATTGTTTGTAAACCTTGACTAACCTAGAAAGATATCTGAAAAAACAAAACAAAACCAAAAAAGAAACGGCTTTACCAAGAGGAAACCTGAGGTAAAGAGAAATTAAGTTACAGTCCCTGGCCACACAGAGCTAAGTGTCTGCACACCAGGCACCTATGCCAATTCCCTGTCTCCAGAGTAGACCACAACTAAGCCACACACACAAACTCTAACAGACTTTCTCTCCTCCCTCCTCCTTGAAAGAAAAAAAAAGGTAACAAAAAAAAAACCCCACCAAGCACTGCCACACATCATGGTATGATGAAGTGAGTACTGATTTAGACAGTCACTAGACTGCATTATAGTGCTGGTTATGCCACTAACAAGCCAAGAAGAGACAAGAAGGCCTTGGTTTTCAGCGAGAAGAAGAGCACACAGGAGAGGGAGGGAAGCAAGAAACAGTAGGATTTCTTCCAGGTTCCTTCTACATAGGTTCCCATTGGATACAGTGAGAACTCTGATTCCATTCTCAGAACCCCAGCAGCTAACTCTCCATCAATGATTGCTTCTGGTTAATGTATTACAGAATGCCTGCATTGTACCAGGGATTGTGCCTGATATCTAATATATCTCTTCTCATTTAATCGTCAGAAAGCATATCTTGCAAGGTAGATACTATCCTCCTTTTACAAATTAGGGAGTAGAGGTTCTGTCAGTGATTGTCATTTACCCAGAGACACTTAGCTAGACTCAGAAGAGCCAAGATTTACTCTCAACCTTATTTGAATCCAGAACCTTAATTTCCCCTAACTTCCCATACTACTTAGTCTTGGATAGATTCATGTGAAATGCTTTTATCTAACTTTAACTTTAAACCAAGGTATCTGCTTAAATGGCTGAATGAGAGAGATCTCATATTTTAAAATTAACCTGGGGAAGATGGAACTTTAAATTTATTCAGCTAATACTTAAGCCCAAGACTCTTGCTATTTAACCATTTTTTTTCTGGGGAAGAATGACTAGTATTTTTAGAGTAAGAGTTTCTATCAATAATTTCAACGTATTGCTTTAAGTTGTTGCTGTTACGAGATTCAGGAAGCAAAACTTGAGGAAAGAAAAATGGGGGAAGAAAGGATGGTCTATGAAATGATTGACCTGCTGAGGGGGAGAAAAAAAATCATGAGCTGGAGACAGCAGAATTACAATCTTGACGTTAGTCCCACATGGGTTATTACTCTTGATATCATTATAGCCAAATGGAATGAAAATAGAAGGGGGAGAGAAATCTCAGTGGGTATTGCAATTTCAATTTGCCATGTAAGCTAATACTGTATATTTAGAGACTGAGCAGACAGGGTGGTTGGTGGCTCAGAGTATGTGCAGGGCTTGCTGTGCCAACTCACCAAAGCAGACATTCATTAGAGCAAAATGTAGATTTCCATTTCTTGGCATCTGACATGGGCTCTTTCCTTGGAAAGAAATGTCAATTTGGCCAAAAGTGTGAAACCTACAATAAAAGCATTGGGACTGTGGATTTCATCTAGTCTGCACATACCCACCCTTTCCTTTCTTATGGTTGAACTCCAGTAGAGAAGTGGGGTGCTAAGTGAGGTGGTAGCAGGGAAATTCTATAGGGGTATAGGATGTTTAAAAGGGGGGCAGGCTGCAGAGGCTGGGCAAGGGCTAAATGAACTCCAAATTTTTTTTTTTTCATTTTTTTGGCTTTCAATGCCAATTTTCTCTCTTGCCCTAAATTTGCCCAGCACAAGAAACTAACCACAGTTATTACTGTTTGTGCATCAGGCCCTGACCAACGGCCGCTTCCATAGCTTGGCACTGCCTGCTAGCGCTGCATGTGCTGTGGGCAGTCCCTGCAAACTGCCTACAACTGGGGTCAGGCACGGATGAGGCCTCTCCTGCTAGAAAATTTCACTGTTTGTTTCTTTTGTTCAATAGACTGGAAAGACTATGACGACAGAGAGCCCAGACACAAGGGACAGAGTGAAGTTCTGGAAGGTCTCCTGCAGCAGGTCCGAGCCCTGCATCAGCGCTACAGTTGCCGGGGTAAGGATAAAAATCTGCACTGGGCCATCGGCTGAGGTCTCAGTGGCGCCGGTAATTTTAGCAGTTTCCTAACTGGGTCATACCTTCTCATTCATCAGGGAGAGAGAGATATTAATATTTGTACATCTGGAATCACTTTACAGCACTATCTTGCTTTAACCCTTAAGAAGAGACTTCCCTCCCTTCCTGTTTCATTCTCTCTTAGGGGGATGGGGGAAAACAGAAAATATAAAATAGCAGCTACTATGCATTCCCAACCCTTTGATTTGTTTCTTCACAAAACTCTTTAGTGGTGCTGGGTCTTTGGAATATGTACCCTCAGATATCTTCCCTCCAAAGAAATTTCCCTGTGAATCCCTGAGGGAACTCAGCCAATAATAACAATAATAATAACAAGCTTTCATATATATTTACAATATCATTTGCAGTGTCACATTCAATCTCTCTCTTTTGCTCTCCTTTTGGCAGTTACTTCTGAGGTTAAGAGACTTGCCCAAGATCACAGACTCAGGAGAAGACAGAATCTGGACTTGAACAGGGGTTTTCTGGCTCCAAATCTAGTCGTCTTGTCACACTCAAATTTAGTCATGTGTCTCCCATGACTGAGGCTCTGGCACTGAAGTTTAATCTCCTCTTGAATTTTAATCATCCCTGTATGATTTGCTGCTCAGGGGGAAACAGAGGATGCCCTCTCCAGACCCTGGCCAGCTATTCCCAGAGAATCTCTGAGCAGCTTTAGAAAAGCTTCTCTCCCACTTGGGCTGTTCAGATGGGACTGGGTCAGGTTTCCGATCTGTGTAATGATTCGTGGAAGAGGCACTTAGCTTTATTTGGAGAATTAAAGCCTCCATAAAGTTTCCTTTTCCATGCTCCTTCACCCATCACCTCTCCAACTACACTGTGCTATCTAGGTTCTGGGCACTGCTGAGCCAGCTGGGCAAGAAATCCATGACTGAAACGAAGAGGTCCAAGCTGAGTTATGGCTAGGTGCAAAGAAATCGTACTCATAAGTAGCACAGAATGGTTCTCAATTACCGTATAGCTATGACAACAGAACCTTTCCAAAATGCTGATGCTAGCTGTAGCAAGAAATTACAAGTGTTTTTAAGTGAATATACATATATGTTCTTCTCACGTACTTTAGGCATGTTGCTAAGAAAGGCTATTCCTTGGAGAGGGTCATCATGCTTGGAAAGACGGAGGGTCAGCAAAGGAGAGGAAGCCCCTCAACCAGGTGGAATAACATAGTGACTGCTGCAGTGGTCTTGGGTGTTTCAGGAAGTATGAGGATGACACAGGATGGGACAAGGTTCAGATCTGTGGGTGGGAGAGAAAGAGAGAGGAGAGAGAAGAGAGAAAGATAGACAGATACACACACAGACACACACACAAACACACACACACACAGTAGCACTCTAGAAGATTGTGCCTAGACAAGGACCTTCAGTAACCCACACTGATCAAAGTAGCCTCCTGTCTCAGTTGCCCAGGCCTCCTTTAAGTAGATGGGGTATTATTCAGGCTCTCCTGCCTTCTGCTTCCTGCCTCTCCATTACTCTCTGCCCATTGATTTCCATATGGAATATAAGTCCATAAAGTTAGTGGACCAAGGCAGATGATTCTTTGCAACTCATAAACTACCTTGTGTGTGGTCTTTGTCAGAGGGAAAGTTAAAACACTCATAAGAATGGAAGTTTTATTCGTATTATTAGGTGTATATTTAGAAACTCTCTCTATTACTATCCAGTAGTCAAGAAATGGTTGTGAAGATGGTTCCATTTTTTTCTGTACTTTCTACTAAACCTTTTTTCATATCCAGCTGGTGGCCTTCAACACATCCTGACAACTCTGTGATAAATAATTTCTGACAACAGTCAAAGCCCTCATTTTCAATGCATTATCATTCTCCTTATAAATCCAATCCCATTTGTTTTTGAGGGGCGCAAGTATTACATATAAAGGTACAGTCATATTTTAATCTATACATCAAAAATACACAAATCATAAAAATTTACTCCAATAGTGAAGATATTGGCATTTTGTCAATTGCAATAATAATTCCACTTGTAAAAGTTCGGGATCATCTGGATTTTTCCTGGCAACGGAGAAGGTATTTCTAGTCAGAAAGTTAGGGAGAACTGTCTTTACAGTACCCTGCTCTTTTCTTTATCTAGTTCACAGTAATATCTCATCGCTTCCTGAATCTGCTTCTCAACTTGAGCAAAATGATCAGCATTTGAGTCCATGATTTTCAAGCAACAGAGGTCCCAGCTTTAATTTAGGAAAAAACTCCAGCTAGTATGTTCACCATAAATTGTTTTTACAGTGTCTCTCCTTCATCTTCATCATTATTTCTTTCTGATTCTGAATTTCTTTCCTCTTCTAGATCCATTAATTCTTGATGTATCAATTCCTTTCTTTGTGATCTGTAAGCTGTTTTATATTGGTGATATTGAGTTCTAAGTTGAGCATTCTTGCCATATGAATGATTTTCCCATCAATCTCTTTAGTCATACCACCCTGATCATATGTTTGGAACTTTCTGTTATTATTCCCAGCATTGACTTCTTTGTACACCAGACCATATAGCAGATCAGTAAATCATAAAATTGAACATATCTGAGTGAGCATCTGAAAATAATAATATCAGAAAATTACCCACTACAATACTGTATACAGTGCATACGTTGTTGTTATTGTTGTTGTTGTTGTTGTTATGTGCCATTGAATCACCTGCGACTCATAGTGACCCTAGGCACAACAGCATTAAACTCTCTCTTTATCCTGTGCCAATCTCACTATTTCAGACACATCTACCCCCATTACCCTAATCACTGAATCAATTCATCTCATCGAGGGTCTTCTTCTCCTACGCTGTCCTTCCCCCTCCCAAGCATGATATCCCTCTCCAAGGACTGGTCCCTCCTTGCAAGATGTCCAAAGTATGTCAGGCGAAGATTCAGAATCCTTGCCTCCAAAGAGCAGCCCGATTGCACCCTCTTCAGGACAAATCTGTTCATTCTCTTAGGAGTCCATGGTACATTCAATACTCTTCTCCAACACCACAGCTCAAAGGCATCAATCCTCTTTCTATCATCCCTAGTCATTGTCCAACTCTCCGATGCATAGGAAATAATTGCAAAGACCATGGCCTGGATCAGCTGCACCTTAGTCTCCAGAGTGACACCATTGTTCTTGTACTTTGGAGAGGTCCCTAACAGCAGACTTTCCTATTGCAATACGTCTTTTAATTTTCTGGAGGCTGGTGTCTAAAGTGTTGACTGTGGAGCCAAGCAAACCAAAACTGTGAACAATCTCAATCATATGACTCATGATTTTTTTTAAAAAAAATTGTCATCCAATCCATTCTAACTCGTGAAGACTCCCCAGGTCAGAGAGATGCCCCATAGCGTTTTCAAGGCTGTCATCTTTACAAAAGAAACTGCCACATCTTACCCCACAGAGTGGCTGACGAGTTCCAACTGCCAACCATACATGCCGCTCACACTTGAACTCATTGCCACTGACTCAGATCCCACTCGTAGCTGACCGCTCACAGTGGGAATCTGGGAGGCTATAAATTGCATGGGGGGAAAACTGCCTCTCTTTCTTCCTCAGAGCCACTGGCGGATCTGAACCATCAGACAAAAAGAGTCCACCTTTCTTTGGGTTAGCAGTGCAACTTGCTTGGTACTACCCTATCAGAGCTCCTTTTCACTAAAAGGCCCTAGGGACTATGCTATGCCTCTGTTGTTGCTGTTGATGTTAGATGCCACTGAGTCGATCTGAACCTTGCCCTACCTTACGCCACCCTGATCATCTCTGATGTATTTGAGTCCATTGTCTCAGTCAGTGCGTCAATCTATCTTGCTAACAGTCTCTTTTCTTTCACTAACCCTCCACCTTTCCAAGCATGATGTCTTTTTCCAAGAACTGGACCATCCTAACAATATGCTCAAAGTTGTGAGACAAAGTTTCGCTATCCTTCCCTCTGAGGAGCACCCTGGTTTTACTTTCTTTTTCACTAGATCTGCTGGTTTAGTAATAAGATGCTGTGCTACCACTCTCATGATATGTTGTTCAAACCCACCATCCACTTCACAGGAAAAAGACTGGCAGTCTCCTCCCATGTGATGTGTTGTTGCTGTTGTTATGTATTATGAGTCAGTCCTGACTTGTAACTGACTCTCCAGCAGGTTTTCAGAGGCTGTAAATCGCACAGGAGATTGTCCACATTCTCCAATGGAGCAGACGGTGGATTCAAACCACGTGCCTTTGGGTTGGCGGCACAACTCCTTCCACTCAGCCACTAGAGCTCCCCAATCTGCGCAGAAGTGGGATGGAAATTTAAGGACATGTTAAGTAGCCAAGGCATGATTTATAAATAATGAATTATCTAAAAGCCATTCAGTGTTCATTATAGCACTTCAGGAGGGAATTTCAATTATTACTCAATTTTTCAACTGGTGAAATAACATAAACTGAAACACCCTGCCTTCTATATGTCGTATGTTACACATACTAATATGAATAAAATGAATTCCCTACTTTCCAAGCCACCATTATTCTGTCATTTCATCTTAAATGCTACTATAACATTAGAAACTATGCCACTAGTATTTTAAATACCAGCAGGGTCACCCCATGGTAGACAGGTCTCAGTGGGGCTTCTAAACTAAGACAGAATAGGAAGGATCAGCAAACTATTTCTTTAAAAATTGACTCGTAACAATCTTATCAATAACTGTGCAATACTGTTTGATCTAGTGCGCCTCAGATTAGAAGACACTCAAGATAAAGCCAGGAACGAGCTGCCTCCTCAAAGCAAGCCCACTGCCCTCAAGTTAATTCCAGTGTCATCAAAACCTCCATTAGGTCTCCATGGCTGTCAGTGTTCACAGGAAGAGACTGCTTCATCTTTCTCCCATGAGCAACTAATGGGTTTGAACCCTCAACTTTTCAGCCTGCAGCTCAATACGGAATAAATCACACAACAAGGG